ATGACGGCGGCCACAATGGACAGCCACGAAAGCTTGTCGAAGTTGGGGATTTGGCTCAGAAGGAGCTGAATGCAAGCGAAGATCACCATGAATGGGTAGTTCGATGTTTGGCACTTCACTCGATGTCCATGCTTGTGGAAGCAATTTGACCGTTTCACGGCCCTGTATTACAAGGTAATTAAGAGATTAATTTGTTAAAAGCAATGATAATATGATTATCTGTATATACTTACACCATACTGATTGATGCTGTGATTGTGTATCCAATGGTTATTCCAACAATATTCGCATACTTCCATGTACGGATAGTTCTCTTTCCATGGACAGGATCAGGAGCTCTATAGCAGTCGGCAAGAAGAGTGGAGGCGAAGTAGGTGATGAAGGAGAAGGCCATGAGAACAGCCGGTCCGGCCACCCATCCCAGTGTGCGATAGCCCCATGCTAGAGATAACACGCCGAGCCGATCACAGCAGTGATAATATGAGCACTCGCAGTAAGCCAAGTCCCTTCAGAAACAACCCACAGCCATATCAAATAACAAAAATGACATACAAATAATAGGATCATTAGCAAAAGTAGTAATTATCATTTACCGTTCTTTTGGGTCGACCATCATCATCCAAGTCTTCTGGATACCACCATTCTCGTAATCGCCGGTGTTTTGCTCGATGAACATGCTGCTCTTTTGCATATTTAGACTTTAGACATCTACTATGCTTCTCTTTGATGAAATGGGTGTGTGTCAAGTTATGTGTCCAAATGGAGCGATATGGAGATATGTTTAGACGAGGAAAAACAAAGGCAAAGGCAAGAACAGAACTGGGGTTTGGTTTGAGGTTTGTGTAAGAGATTGCAAAGCATATAAAGGGGTTGATTGGAGGTTGGGGGAGTGAAATTATTAACAATGATTTGGGCACAATCGATGGTCGTCGTTTGTGCTTGTGGGGGGGTCTTCTCATACGAGGGGTCCCCACATTTTGTGTATCGCATAGGAACCATCCATTGTGATATCTCTCAAAAGTATACATAATTGTAAGAATATTATATGGGCCTTCCCGCGGAGAAATGATGCTCCATGGATGTACTTAAAATATTGAATTGTATTTTAGAGGTACATGTTTAGAGTTTAGATTTTAAAGGAAATACAACAAAATATTCTTGTAAATCTAAAACATTCCACCAACATATATTAAATATCACCTTTAATAATTATATTTGTATAATCAATAATAAAACGCAGTAAATCTGGCATTGACTAAGCCACTTCTTGGTAAGTCGTTCCCTGATTAAGGCTTGGGGATAATGGTATCTTTTTGTCCTTAAGACACCCAGGAACACTTAAGTAAAAAGAATTGATTGAGCCCTCCACATGAGAAATTGGAGATGAGTATCAAATGCAGACAAACATCAATTTCTCTCTTCTTTTTTTATTTATAGCCTTTTAAGTAGTGCTCACAAAGCTCTTAACATAGTGGCCGTGGGATCGAATCCCATGGTGGGCAATTCATAATTCGGAGGTTTCACACGGAAGTTACTGTTAACCTGGTGTTGGGGGCAGCCTACTATCCTACCTCCCCTTATCCCATTACATATGGGAATAAGGGTCGGCTAATATTTTTCAATGTAATGGTCCTCCTGGATTCGATGAGGCTTTTGGTGAATCCTTTCACTTCCAAGTAATGTGGTGATGATAATTATAGTAAGCTTCTGTGTTACACGACCATACAAAGTTGTCGAAAACTAGAGTTTAATCAATGTGTTGGTCTAGATTAGCTTATTTTAAGGAGAATGTTTTGTCATCCTTCACCTCCAACTTAAGATTCATCTGACCTTCAAATTGATCAGTAAGAAACCCAAAATTTAATGCAATAAAACCATACAATCATCATTAAATTCCACGCGTCTCTCTCCAACTACCAACAACAACAAAAATACGGAGTCTAACGACTTAAACAAGTGATATTTAGTGGTGCATTCTTAGTATTATTACTGCTGTAGGAGAAAACGATGCGTGCCTTTTCATACTTATTGGATCCAATATCTTTTGTTCCATTAATATTATGATTGAAGTCTCTTCTCCAAATATGCAGTGGCATAGGTGGCCATGGAATTTGGCCACCTTGTATCACCACCGCGAACCGTGCTTATAATGGGACATTATATTAAATTATATTATATTCCATTTCTTTCTTCTTTCATAATGCCCAGCTTTTACATTTCACCATTATAGATCGTGACCTGGTTTTTGCAGTGTGATATGCTGGCTTTCTTATATGCAAACGTACGCCAGGCTTACGTTATCATGCTCCCTTTCACTCTACCAAAGTTCTTTTATTAATATGTTTTGACAACACTCACGCACGTATTGTGTAGATACAATTATTTGAGCTTAAATTATTTAGGGACAACGATAAGTAAACCTTATTGAATAGAACTTAATACATCCACGTTTTCTTGTTTATTTGGTTGAATAGTCATATGTGTTTCAATCATCTTCGCAATATTCCTGGCATTTGAACTTTTATATCTAACGAATCTAAATATGCTATCGAATTTTTAAAAAATAGAAGTTTTAAAAGTTTGATGGAAGAAGTGTGGTTGGAAAGTAAAGGAGTTTGAAAATTTTGTATTTGTATCTTCGGTCACTTTACGTTTATTGTTATTGCGGATATAACAGATGATATTGTGATCACTGTAACTATCGTGATTGTGAAATTTTAATAATATATGTTATTGTGGATATAACTATTGTAGATGACGTTATCACTCTATTACGGTCATTATTGTGGTTACATACCGTCATTTAAGTTTTTTTTTGGCTAATAAAAGTTTAGGTTATGGTGATTCATCCGGTATTTTTCCTAATAACAAGTGTTGAAAAAAATAAATTTTAAGAGCAACTCTATAATAACAATTATTAAAAAAAATAGGTTCCTAATAACAAATATTAAAAAAATGAGAGTAAATTACACATTTAATACCTAAACTATCAATTTTGGTCCTTTTTAGTCTTAAACTTTCAATGTTTTCAAAATCATACTTAATGTTTAGCTTTTGTTTCGTTTTAGTACCATGTTGTTAAAACCTTAATGCGTTTATTACCTAAACTATCAGTTTTAGCCCGTTTTAGTACATAAACTTTCAAAAGTTTTTCAAAACTTATCGTTAAATTTTGAATGGGGGTAGTAAAATGAAATAAAAACTAAACTTTAGGTATGATTTTAAAAATTTTGAAAGTTTATAAACTAAAACGGATCAAAACTAATAATTTAAGTACTAAATAAGCAATTTACCCTAAAATGTAAATTTTAATAGTATACTCACAATAACAGATTATGAAAAAAAATTAAACCTCTAATAAAAGTTACTAAAAAAATTGGAATCTTAATAACAATCGAATGTTAGAAAAGAAATTGAATTTTAAAAGTATGCCCATAGATATTGCAAAATTAAACCTCTAGGTTTTATGTTGCCATTTTTCGATGATTCAACGACTACAACTGTTCGTACGTTACACGGTCGTCACCATTGAGTTCCTCATCCTACTTCGAATAAAATCTGATCGGTGGTGACCCTTTGCCGTCAGTAGTGGGGGATGAGAGGGAGAGGGACGTCACAAGAGGATTTGATTTTTTTAATTTTTTTAATTTTTTTATTACTAAAAAGTTATATATATATAACGGTAAGCACATAAAAGTGTAACGGAGAGAACATTAAGCACCTATTATTAGTAAAAAAAATCTCTAGATACCAAATCGTATTTTAAAGTATAATTTAGGTACTAAAAAGTGTATTAACTATATTATTTTGGTCAATTTTTGTTTTTACTACTATTTAACCTATTAGCTGTTTAATTCTAAGTACTGTAAAAAATTATTATGGTGGGGCAAACCAAATCTTTATATATATATATATATATATATATATATTCTTTACAGCGTACTAATCAACTATTAGCATTTCAATTATTATTATTATTATTGAAATGAAACCATACCTTCATCAACCGAAATTAACATCAATAGCAATTACAGATGTCTTCATAAATCAACATCAGTAGCTATTACAGAAACAATTCAATTAGGCACAACATTAACAAAAAATAAAGACAAAGATGCCCCATCAGTGAAACAATAATGTCATTATGTGGATGCAATTCAAGTAAGCACGACTTGATCCGCATCATGATTCCCCAGTTCATTGAGCTAAAAAACCGGTTTATAAAAAAATCGATTCGGATCATAACCGATTTGGAGGGCCGGATGATGTAACCGATGTAACCGGTTTCGGTTTAAAAAAACTGGTTTTTTAAAAAAACCGATTTTTAATCCAGTAAAAAATCCGGTCATCCAATTTTTTAAACCCCAGACCAGATTTTTTTCCGGATAAAAAACTGGTTTTTTACCCGGTTTTTTTCAAACCAGTTTTTAATCCGGTAAAAAATCCGGTCGTCCAATTTTTTCTCAAACATGTTATACTATCTAGTTTTAAAATATCCGATCCGGTTTTAAAAAAACCTATTTTTCTCAAATCCGATTTTGGATATTTTTTTCACAAAATCGAATATTCGGATTTTTTGTACACCTCTACTCTCCACGATAACACTAGAAAATCCATTTCAACTCCATGACAAATGGCATCACCTTCAATTTCGAATGTTGAGAGTATTAAACCTATGTATGTGATTTTTATATTACATGTCTCCAACGAATCATGCACGAATTCAAACTGAATTGGTTTGACTAATTTTTCAAGTATTACATAGTTCGCTATTTTAAGTTCAATTAGTTGTTCGTATTCTATGAATGTAATGATTAATTCTAATATTTCTATTTAAAAATGTATATCCCCTAGTAAATATTTTGAATTTCAGAGAAGTTCATTTTCATTCATGTACTGCAAGGGAAATCAAAATCAATATCCCATAGTACTTTTTTTTGTATTTTGAAAAATTAAACAACAAACAAAGATTAAAAATATTAGCTTTAAGGCACAACGCTTCCATGTAGGCTTGAGCCAACTGATATATTTGACATTTAATTCTCTTTTGCCTTTAAAATCAAAATGCCCCGTGACCTAAAACTCATTGAAACAGGACCCCTGAGCCAACACAAGTAAACCCCTTGATACATAAGAGAAACCTTATGCGGTTTATATGATACACATTCAATTTACAGATGCCAGAAAATTGCACAAAGCTGGAGGTAACTCATCAATCTTCTTCGTTGCTTATGCCTTCTCTAGAAATGCTTATTTCACGACCAACTAGGTATACGTGTTCTCATACCGAATCAAGCAAAGCTCACATGCGAGGTTCATTGTTACGATCATCCCAAAAACCATTGCATCTGGACTCGGTGTTCAGCTGGTCAATTAGAATCGGATCAACTTTGAAATATTATGTCGTAGTTGCTCCCTGAACAGAAGAAGCATCTGACGAATGCAAGTTTGACATATGCGGTTGCTGCTGCGGCTGCATATGCTGCTCATTTGCAAGACCGAGAATCGCAAGCGTTGATCTACCAAAATGTATTAAGCAAATTATAAATCATTAAAGCATGCCAGCATAAAAAGACATATGAACTCATGTTATGGAAATAAAAGATACTTTTATAAAAGCTTGAACTATATGCAAAAGATACTTATGTTTCTTATTTTTTACTGAAGCATTGTCCACAACGCCTTGTTAACAGTAGATCGAATTTCTGAAATACTAGTTGAATCAAAAAGAAAAATAGAAGCTGGTGTTTTCTTCCCCCCCCCCCCCCTTCCCAGTTTTCGGCACAGGGAAGGTTCTCGATTAGAATCCAGAGAACTATACCTAGGCAGTGAACCTTTTATATTTGGTTGGCTTGCATAAGAAGCTAGGGAACTCCTGAGACTGCCAAATTTATTCAGCGTGCTCTCGAGTTGTGGCGGCGGCAACTGCAATCACCCAAACACAAAATGAAAGCTGTAAGCCTAAACATTATGACCAAAGAGCCAAAGGTTCTTTCAAATGCGCCAGGGAAAAGAGGGAGTTCATATGTAGTAGATCCTATTTTACCTGTAATAATACAGGAAATGAATGCGGTTGTGTCTGAACCACACACTTCAAGAACCCAACCCACAACTTCGGCATTCTCCAGATCTACACTCAACAAACAGAATAATTTTAGTTGTCTTGCCCGGCAACCAGCATGTGTACTGTATGCAGTTCTTGTGCGGGAGGCAAGTTCTTAATTAGACGGGTTGAGTCACTAACCTGTTTACTCACAAGTTTGGATAGGATTTCCATGACAAAATCGACCTAGATACAACAGAAAATAGGGCTCAGAAGATATGGTTTCCAATTAAGTCAAGAAGGTAAAACTTGCACGAACATCCAAAAACAATTGAAACAGACAGCCAAGTTTGTTACCCAGAAGTCAAACAGCTTTAGCAGCAAAATGTGAATGAGATGAAAATATGGTTACTTACCAGGGTAGGGAAAGCATCAATTGCCTGAATAACAGTTCTCATGAAAAGTAACGGAAGAGGGACCTGGTCAACCTGAATAAAAAAGGAAAGGAAAGCATTACTACATATGCAAAGAACGGTATTAACACCATATAAAATAGAGCATAACATACCAACTGATTCAAGGCCTTTGCTAAGACCTGCTGGGTGAAAACTGTGCGCTGCTCGAAACAAGCTGAGCAAGCATCTGTTATCTGGAAAAATTTTAAAAGAACCACAGACATATCAGCTAGAGGGGGACCGTGTAGAAGAAAATACAACCAGCTATTAACCTCTCAAAATGAAAATTGCTTTGCAGAATGTAGTGCTCCAAAGTTTGCTTAGCAAAAGGGGAAAAATGGTGCCCCAAGGTTTGATTACATCCTACTTGGTTAAATACTAAATTAATTTATATGGGAACGGGTGGAGCATACAATAAAATCAAAATAGCTCGTACAGCAGGAGAGAATAGATTTCTTTGATCTGGGAAATTATAAGATTCAGTTATATAAACAACGCACCTTTTTGAGTGGAGGACCACCTTTTTCAGGAAGGATGTCATGGATGGCTACCAATACTTCAGCGGGGGTCAAGGCAGGACCAGTGTGGGCTGAACCCTGCATGAACAAAGGAAAGGGAAACACTTCGAATTACAGTTTTGTTCCATCAATCAAAATTCTTTAAAGATAAGAAAATACATTGAAAAAGCAGCCATAAAACAAGACAACTTGTAGGCTACCTATACAAGTTCTTTTGCTTCCAATCTAAAGAAGAGACTGAATAGTGGCATCTGGGTGCAGATGCAACAACATTGTGAAATATTTTAACTTTAGAACTAACTTGTATGGATAGGTTCTCTTTAATGCACATCTATTATGTTTCAGTATTGACATTCTTTCTCATTTTTATTAATGAAATATGATTTTATTTTATTTATTGTAATATTTGGTTAAGGCAAAGCAAAATACAACCGCAAGACCATAAATCAAAGATCATAAAATCACTATCCTCGGGATTTATTGATTCTAAAAGTGCCTTGTTTCTTCCTTCGGAATGATAAAGTAGGGTAGTGACATGAAGCAACTTCTAAGAGTACACAAATAAATAGAGCAAACTCATCCCGAAATTTCATATCTAGGAGTTTCAGGGTAAACATTATCCTATTCAAGGCAAAAAAATATATATTAAGGGTCCATTTGTTTCATAAAAAATAGATTCCGAAAAATGAATTTCGTAAAATGAATTACATTTCCTGAAAAATATTTTTTGGAAATCATTTTACAGTATTTCGATGATTTTGTGTAATTCATTTTCCATTGGTTGGTAATTTTTTTAAAAAATCTTTATTATAAACATTAAATGCAATAAATAATATTATTTTTTATTATTTTTCAAATATTAGAATAATTTAACTAATATTATTTATGTTAATATTATTATTAGAATATTATATCTACAATTTTAAATAAGAAGACTAATATTATTATATTTTATTAAAATAAAAACATTATAAATATATTAAATGTTTATTAAAATAAAATAATATATTATTAATTATATTAATTACTTATTAAAATAATAATATAAAAAATTATATTATATTTTAAGGAATATATTGTAAATATTTAACAATTCAATAATATTATTTTTATGAAATTAATAAATAATATTAGTTTTGTTAATAATTTATTATATATTATTAAAATAAAAAAAAAATGATATTAAAAATAATATATTAATATTAAATATATAAAAATAATAATGTTTTGAATGTTTATGCTTTGAAGTGGAAAGTTCGTAAAATGACTTAAAAAAACCAGTCTGCAAGTCATTTTTCAGAAAATGCAAATGAAATTCAGTTGACAAGGAAAATGAATTACATTGACCATCTCTTTTCCGCCAACCAAACACTGGAAAATGAGGAAAACATTTTCCGGAAAACCAATTACAGGGAAACAAACGGACCGTAAAATTGAAAAAGAATAGCATTCACATGTACCTGCAATATGTGAGCAAGTGCAAGCTGGAACTTTTCCAATGGAAGGTCAACAAGCCGAGGAAAAATAGGTAACACCTGAGAACGGTTAATGGTTCAAATCAGATCAGCACCACTAATAATTCACCGTTTGTTTGTTTTTCTAAATGCAATGAATGTAAATAGTCAGGCTAAGAGATTTAACAAAGGAAAATTCAGAACAAACCTCATTCTTGGAGAGTGAAGATAGCATTGGAATGAGAATAGTAGCATCCTGCAAGTAAACAGCGATAAGGGTGTTCATAAGGCAAAATCATAATCATTAGGAAAGATTGTAAGAGGCAGAAATCATATGAGCTAAAAAAGAAACCTTCAGCTTAGTCTCATATAAATGCTTCACAGTGGCTACTAAATCAGGAGAAGGAGTTGCCTCTTGGGTCAATACTTGCAGCACCTTGATAGAAAACAAAACCACTATCAGTGTAGTTCAAGAATAAACAGAAGAAATAGAGTTCCAAAGCTGAAATAAATTTAAGAATACAAATGGAGATAGAGCCCACCAGAGTTAACAGATTTTCACTTCCTTGGGGTGGGTCAGATATTATTCGGAGCAACTGAGAATAAGACTGACCCAAGGCTCTAATTACAATAGGTATATGGCGATGAAAAGCCTACACCAACAACAAATAGAGTAAAAATGAAGGTATCAAGGTACCAATAAAAGTTACATATACGATAATACAAGGTAACAAGTAGCAACAATAGTAAAGATGAAAGTTCAAGCATCCAACAAGAAGGTTCTTGGTCAAGAACTGTATCCAAAAAAGGTTTAAAAAGTGGAAGTGGGACAATCTAGATGTCATCTGGCAGAATTTCTCAAATTTTCTTACATTACTGCACGTATGGGTTGGTAATTATCAATGGCTCACAATTCCCATGCAAAGGAAGCCATTGATTCTCACAAATTGTTCACAATTATGTGCTGAAAGAAAAGAGAATTCCACAGTGCACCCTGCAATTTTACTCGGCTGGGAATTGGGACTATATTTGGTAAGGATGTAAAACTTCCATCAACCAAGGGCCATAAACAAAAAGATAGAATCTCATGATAACTTTGATCAAAACTAAACTCAGCCTTGACTTAAAACCAAAGTGCTAACCTAATGAAAACAAGTAATAGATAACAGATCGATCAAGATTTGTGGTTTAGTCAAATAAGATAAACTAAACCAAGTAACCAATATTAGCTTTAGACCTTGTTCTTATCTACACAATTTATTTTCATATATGTATGATACATACTAGAAGATCACATTCAAGCTTTAAATCAACCTAACCGCAGGCAGCTTAGAAAACACATACATTATGAATACCCGACAAGAGTGACCTTAGGCTTTCAGAAGTTAGGTATATCATTAAAACCAAATCACTCTACAACTTGTGTTTTTTCCCAGGAAACATATGCTCTTATTTTATTTCAATCACTGGAACAGATGACAAGTTGCAAACCATGCAATATCTCTGTGGAGCTACATCAACCTCCCATACACCAGAAAACATGTTACAAGGACATGCAGCCTAATCTAATCTATTCCTAATAATTAAAAGATGAACAATACAGAAAGTCAGAAACAGACAAGACATACCTGCTTTACAACTTTTGGTGCTCGCCCATAAATATCAAATAAGAGTTGAAGAAGACTAGGCTTCTGAAAAAGGAGGGAGAGTCAATCAATTATAGGCCACAAATACACACAAAAAGAAACAAAGGAACAACCAACAGAAGCAAACCTTTGTGCATAAAGCAAAAAACAGAGAAAGGAATCGTTGAGCTTCAGGCAATGACACTACTGAAGAACTACTACTTGCTGATTCTGTATTTTCGGGGTCAATTCCAGAAGCTCTGGGCTCTGAAAGTTGAGATCCACTAGTAGATGTGTCCCCACTTCCAACCTGAAGAATTTTCAGCAAGAAAAATTAAGATAAAATTTTGAAACAAATTAAAGACTGGCAACAGTCTTCACTTTTATCAATCAGGACATGCTGAAATGCAAGCTGTGTAGCTACTTGTACTAGACTGACAAAAGGTGATATACACTGAATATGGCTCGGGTTCTCTGGCAAGGCATACAAGAGAACTCACAATAAAACTTGACAAAATACAGTGAATACAGTTTTCAATCATATGCAAATACCAACAAAAGCCCAAATATATTAATCTAACAAACCTAAATATTGACGTTTGACAAACTTTTAAAAACAAACAAGCAGGGGCCTTTAGAAAATATCCCTAACCTCCCTTTCAACTCTTTCATCAATGGATACAGACTGCATAAACTCAGCACCTGCAGCACGCTGACCCACAGCCGACAGCATCATATTTGTTGCAAATTTCTCAATTTCCCCAGATATGTAGTTTAGTTGATAAAGTTTGTTTGCTACCTGTACAGTATAATTCAGGAAAGTGAGAAAAGACCAAGTCTTTGCAACAGTGAGCCAAAATCTTTGATGGCTTGATAACGGAAAAAGATGTTATAAAGGAACAAGTTGATTACCAGCCGGATAGCTTTCCCTCGAATATCATCTTGAGAATGAACAGCACACTGCCGTCCGGGAAGAGTAACAAAAATAAATCATGCACAAAACACAACAAGAAAGATAGAATGGGACTAAAAGCATTATGATGTTTCTCCACCCCATGTTGAAAATAATAGCCTAGGAAAACTGAAAGATGTTTGTCATGTAACAATGGGCTTTCTCACAGGTAAACTAAACATCAATAATATTATGGGATAATTATTAGACAAGAATTCAACAAATGTATATTTATGCATGATACCAACAAACAATTCCTAATTAAAATTGTCGTAGCGAACTTACCTTCAGTACTATACCTAAGCAGGCTTGCCGATTATTTGGACGTCCCAAAATTAAACTCCAGACCACACCAAGGCCCTGTGTCACACGTTCAGCATCACGAATCTCTTTCCCAGTAATATCAAACACATCAGAAAAACAGAGATCATCTAATAGTTTCAAGGCAGAGTCAGGCAGAAAAGGAACTTCACCAAGAAGTCTGCTAAATGACTTATCCGAGGCTGGAAGAGTGTCCAGCAATGATTTGGACTGCAGAAAAGTAAACAAGATAAATCCATTATTTTTTTCTTCTTTTTTTTTTTTGGGGGGGGGGGTTGAATATGAAGTTAGTTCACTTAAATACTTAGCTTACCACTTCTAGGAGGAATTTTTCATAAAGAACAGCTGCATATGAAGAGTTGTCAACTGAATTTGTAACTGTGTGAGAATAAAGATGGTAGAGAACTTGCAATACAATCTCGTGACCCTGAGAAACATCAATATAACACAACTTTATACAACTTGCAAATCTATCTTTGAATGTCAACAACAATCCATGAAATTAGGTCACACAGAAAACATCTACTACAGTAGGCACTGGAATCCATCAAGTTAGAAATTGAATAAACAAGAAAATGGTTTCACATTTCCCTTCTTGACCAAATAAACAAGAAAAACAATCAAATGGAAGTAATGAAGACCTGAGATTAAGCCATACTGTAAACCATTGTCAAATTAATCAAAAGAAAACTATTTGGCTAAAGAAAATATTGTCGCAGACACCAAAGAAGCATAACATTAGAATTGACCAAATGAAATGTAAACCATGTTATAAACAGAAGAGTACAGCTGAGCAGAACTAAACAAAAGAGAGTCAAAAATCAAAAGCAGCAAAGAAAAAATTACAACTTGAATACCTTTTGTTGTTGGTAATCCACGACAATTTGTTTCCCCAACATGACGATAATGTCATCATCGGCATCAATCTGATAGGAAACATAACCACATGATATTTGAATGTCATCTAGCATAGGCACTTAATAGAACAAAGAATTGAATGCTAATAGTCTAAAGGTCAAAAAATTTGAGAAATCATCCAACATAATTCTAGATTTAAGTATGCAATTTAGTAAAATACGAGGCAGAACCATTTTGCAAACTAGTCAAGTCCAGGATATGCAAGGGGAAAAGAAGACTCCCACACATTGAGAAAAGGAATAGAACATTACTTCAGTAACCCATAAAGGAAACTAAAGACTTTCAGTTTGAGAAAAGCTATACCTTCTAAAGAAGACTCTTAAACATGAAACAAATTTGTTTCATGTAACCAAGACATGGATCTGTCTACCTTTTCCCCTTCATAAATAGATTAAATCAAACCCATTTATCCACAACCATATTTTCTCAGATCTATGGTGGTTTGTCTCCCCCCCCCCCCCCAAAAAAAAAGTAACACCGATAGATTTTCCCTCTGTCCAATGTATTAGTTGTCAATGCCCAGTGCATAGCATATTTGCCAAGCACTTCAACAGCAATTCATTAAAAAAAATGAAAAAGCTTATACTATAACCTGAAAAATTTTGCCTACTGGCCTTTGAAGCAGACTGCTTTTCAGCAGAACCACCGACACACTATCATTCATATTGGACTCTATTGCTCTAAAAGAGGTGGTTGCCTCTGTTCTCAAGCAATTAGATGGTGCTAGAAGAGCTTTTAAGGCACATAACCAACGGGGTGAGTTCAGAAAAAAAACTTTTGGCATTCATCTAAAAATCTATAGCTATTATGTGGTATGTAAGCTCTGAACTGATGTTAAGGCATTACTCTTGATTCAATCGGCAGCACTTTCCATGATAACAAATGCCAAGATTTAAAACAGTACAATGTTAAGTCAGGAAAGAGAAAAGGCAGCAGCAAACATTCAGAGAATAAAGACAAATCATAATGTATACATATACAAATATATGTAGCATGTCACCTGACCAACCAACCGGGAAAATAATGCCATGCACATTTCGTTACAGTCTGACCAATAAAGATGCAGGTATGATTCAGCGATCTGTTGAACTGCTGATTTTCTCACACTTCTTTTCTGCTCTTCAGTTAGCTCAACATATAATGGTAGCACAGGTAAATCACGACCAGTCTCATCCAAAGAAGATACGGTTATGGAACCTGGGAAATTCTGATCAGACTCTGGAGACAATGATTCATCGGTATCATGTTTCACTTCGGCATCTGCTTTCAATTCAGCTGATTCTACATCATCCATATAAGGAGAAACTGTGCGATTGGAAGGACTATTGACCTCTAGAATGGGAGCAATGTCTTCCTCACCTCCCACAACATCCCCTTCGGGAGATGGTTGCTCAACACCAACAATCGATGAACCTTCTATTATCTTATCATTGCTTTGAATGTTATGCATAGAATGCACAGGAGGGGTTTCGACAACTGGCACTGAAAGAGGCTTATTAGAAATAGAACCATCAAATTCAAATATTGCAGTTACACTGTCCTCCAGAACAGGTGTGGATGACATTCCAACAGATACAGCAGCCCGTCGTGGATCTAGGCGACGGGGATCCTGAAAAAGTTAGCGTTAACTTCCATTTGACGAAATGCATTTATAAAGATCCTAACCTGGGAAGGTTTAAACATTTTGGAAAAAACATATGATGACAGACAAAGGCAGTTACCCTTCTTGGGTCACGTTTTGAATCTGCAGCAAAATTATTGACTGTAGATGTATCAGATATGGATGAACCGGTTGTAGCAGCTGAAGTAACAGGCAATTGGGGAGTTGAAAGTGGAGTGTGCAAAGGATTTGTTGGAACAGGTGGAAAAACTTGAACCCGACTATTTATGTTAACGGCTTGCTGAGTTGTAGGCAATGTCCCAACCTTCGATAATGGAGGACTTTTTGGCAAGTGCCTCATATTTGTGATGACAATCTCAGCCAGCAGATCAGGATGGATTTTTGAAATAAGAATTTCAAGAGATTCAGCAGCTCTTTCTCCTTCTGCAAGTAAAGCACCAATCATTGCAATCATTTGCTCAACGGGAGTTAAATTATCATCCAAAAGTGGAAAACTAGGAGATGCTCCATTAACAGAAGAAAAATCCTGCCCGGAATCGCTAATTTGAGTGGGTGGTGTCGAGTGGGAATTGGGACCAGAGCGAATACGCTTGGAAGCTATCTCAAAACTATTTGTTAGTTCTTCATTATCTTGAGGCATAGATCTTTTCTTTGACACATCCCCTAAAATATATGCTTGGCTTGATGCTTTAACATCCTGAAAACATGTTCTATTTACCATGAGAAACTGGTAAGAAAGCTACCAAGCATTGAAACATGTTACGCAAATTATGTACTGAACAGTTTTCTTAACAAAAATCATTACCCTGACTGACTGAATTTCCCTGGAAACGCGCTCACGCTCGCTATTTTTTATCATCTTTTCAACCTGTCTGATGACTTGATCAGAAGCATCCCCTGCATTCATTGCTTGTAGAGCTCTAAGCAATCTCTCTCTCGACTGGTATTTAAAATAAAATACCCAACTTGTCAGGTGGAAAAGCATTGAATAACACCTAAAAGTCAAAATTACTAGTTGCAAGGGCTATGTTCCATTTTTACATTCAACAAGCCAGGAGTTGTCAACAAAGCATTTGTGATACATAAATCCTTTGACCTTTCGGCCTTTGAATAATAATTCCACCAAGAAAGCGATCAGTCATCAGTCATTTAGGGAGAGAATAATAAAGATAAATTTAAAAAATAAAAAGCTAAAAAGCACTAGAAGACATTGATAATCAGCAGCCAAATTCTAACTGATTAATGTACATATTAGTTACAACAAAAAACATCATTTAACTCTAGATTCGGTATATGAATTGCACCCCACCCCACCTCACACACACAAAAGAAAAAAAGAAGTTACCTCTACAATGCCTGGATAAGTACACCTCAGGAATCCCAAAAATGAAGTTCTCAAGGAATACTGAATACTGGCTTTATGAAATTCCCTCACCGTCTCAAAGTTTGGATTAAAATCAAGCAGTGCAGAAAGAACAGTGGCATAGTGTTGGGGTCTCTTCCTCGCTATGGCAGCAAGACTGACAAACAAAAAAGGGTATTAATTACAGAAAGATAACATAAAGTATCTCTAGCATTGGGAAAAATATTCTAAGTCCACACAATCAAACAACTACAAGAATGAAAAAATAATTGCTGAAACTTACACCTATTTCTGGACAAGATAAAAAAAGAAAGAATAATTTTTTTGAGACAATCTTATAAGTTGTCACAATCAAACTAAAGTTCAGATAAAGGTTAGCTTTTAACTACAATAATTGGGGTCCTAAGCCGTTTCGTTTTTTTAACTACATGCTCGAGGAGGAAGGGTTCTCTGGGGTGGTTGAGAATTCCTTATTAAATGTTAGTAATGGTATGGGGTGTAGGGGCTTGTTCTCCATTCTTTAAGGAACTAAGAAGGCTATTCGGTCCTGGCCAAGCAGCAACCAGAGGGGGTTTTCGGAGGCTATTGCTGATCTGGAAGCCAGAATAAATATCCTGGAGTTGAAGTCTCAAGTTGGGGGCCTCTCTAGTCAAGATAGGGACCTTCTTGTTTTGACGAGGAAGGAACTGTGGGATTTATATAGGAAGGAGGAGAGTGTTTGGTTTCAGAAGTCAAGAGCGAAGTGGATTAATGATGGGGATAGGAATACTAAGTTTTTTCATTTGTGTGCGCTTAATAGAAATAGATTCAACTCCATTTCAGCTCTGAAGGTGGATGATGATGTTGTTACAGACCCGGAGCAGTTGAAACGCTTTATTTTTTAATATTTCAAGGTCAATTACAACTCTAAATCTACGTTAGAGGTGGACGAAATAAATCTCAATTTCGCTAAATTGACTGATGACCAAAGGAAGTTCCTTGAAGGGAAATTTGTTGACGACTTTCACAAGGGAAGGAATTGGGAACATGGAGTCAATCATGCGTTCATTACGCTGATTCCTAAGGTTGTTAATCCGGAAGTTATTGAAGACTACAGACCCATTAGCCTTGTAGGCAATTTGTATAAAATAATTTCCAAGGTGCTTTCTAGAAGGTTGAGCTTTGTCATTAAAGATATTGTGAGTCCATCGCAGTTTGCCTTTGTTCCTGGAAGGCAGTTAATTGATTGTGCTTTCTTAGCTAATGATGCCATTGATTTCTGGAGGAAAATGAAGAGGAAAGGTGTTGTTTTCAAGGTTGACTTTCGTAGAGCTTATGACTCGGTGGAATGGCCGATTTTATTGAGACTGTTGAAACTGATGGGGTTTGGAGATAAGTGGATTTCTTGGATTAATTTGTGCATCTCTTCTGCCTCTATCTCGGTTCTTGTGAATGGCTCTCCTTCAACAGAATTTAAGTTGGGCAAAGGGCTGAGACAAGGTTGTAGTCTGTCTCCTTTGCTGTTTAATTTAGTAGGGGAGTTACTGAACTTAATGCTTGTTAAGGCTGTGGATTGTGGTCTGTTTTTTTTTTATAAGATTTGAAGGTCTCTTTAAAAACCTCCTTCTTGATTAATGGAGCTTGTAAAGAAGCTTCTTAATCATGGGAAGGAGGAAAAGAGTGCCTTATAATTTCATTGAAGAAAATAAAAATTACAACCTTGGAAAGAGAAATCCAAGTAGTACCCTTACAACAATTCTTGAGCCTTAAAACCGAACTATAGAAGTCAACAACATAATAATCATCCTATACAAGCCTTTGCTAGAGCATCGGCATCCATATTAGCTGTCCTTGCAATCCATCTAACAACCCCCCCGACGGTTTTAAGACACTCAACAATATCTCTAACAATGAAATCATAAACAGCTGGACATGGGACAACCTTATTAATCCAGTCTACTGCAACTCTGCTATCACTCTCTATGATCAACCTATCTTTAACCCTCCCTAGGACAGAGGTAAAGAAAGAGATACCCCTTTGGATAGCTTTAAGTTCCTTCAATGTTGGAGGTCCAGAACCATCCGGTTCCTGAAAAGAACCAATGATTGCACCAGAATGATCCCTCATAAGACCACCCAGACCTGATTTTTCCCAATCACAACTAATTGTTGCATCCACATTCAACTTGATGAAACCCGTAGGGGGAGGTAACCAAGGGGTTATGGAAGACTTCAAGAAATTGTAGGACGAGTAAGAATCCCCTATAGAAGGATCAGAGATTAAGGAGTCCTTAGGAATAGAAACATCCTTATTCTTTGCTAAATACCAAGAGGCCAGCCTAACTCTTGTTAAGAAGAATAATTCAGTCTGATCGAGCTTCCCCCCTTCAAAAACTATGTAATTCCTGAATTTCCAGATTGTCCAAATAACAGCCCCAGGAATGAAAGTCCAAATTACCGAATTAGATTTCAACTCATCCCAAGCAAGAAGAAAATTTTTTGCTTCTGCAGAAAACACAGAACTAAATCTCCAAAAATTTAGAAATTTATTCCACAAAGACCACGCAACCGAACAGGAGAAGAATAGATGCGAAGAAGATTCTTCAACCATTTTACAAAGAGGGCATAAGCCATCCTCAATACCTTGAACTCCTCTTTTAACCAATTCAGATTTAACTGCAATTTTTTGAAGCACAATTTGCCAAACTAATGTTTCAACTCTAGGGGGAACCAATCCTCTCCAAACAATCTTGTTCCAGAAATGAGACTCTTCTGAAATTGAAGCACAACTCTTAACACAAGAACCGACTGTATAAACCCCATCCCCACTGCCTTTCCAGATCAATCCATCGCTAGAATCAATAGATAGAGAGAAAGAAGAAATGATGCTCACCAAATTGCACCATTGTTCAAGCTCCCAATCGTTTAAATTTCTTCGAACTTTAACATCCCAAATCCAACCCGAAGAAAGAAATTCCCCGAACTCACAAAGTTTACCGAATTTATTAGTTGACAGTGAAAACAGTCTAGGAAATAGAATCTGAAATGGAAAATCAGCAGCCCAACTATCTTGCCAAAATCGAACATGCTTACCATTTCCGACATAAAACTTGCACAAACTACGGAACTTACAACCAAATGAGTCTTGTTTGAAATGGTTATTAACCACTGATCTCCACAACCAGGAGGATTGAGAAGGAATCTTGCTATCAAACAATAGTCTAGAAGAGTCAATGTTGTATTTGCTACAAATAAAATTCCTCCAAACAGAATTTCTCTCATTTGCAAACCTCCAAGACCATTTCCCTAGCAATGCTCTGTTCATAAAAATCAGATTCCGAACTCCCAAGCCTCCCTCAGTCTTTGATTTGCAGACATCATCCCATTTAACCCAGTGTATCTTCTTAATACCATTGCCCCCTCCCCATAAGAAATTAGACATAATAGAATTGAGAGTCTTGAGGATAGAAGCTGGAATCTTAAAAATAGACAAAAAATACGTAGGTAGTGAGGACAGAACGGATTTGATCAAAACCAGTCTCCCTGCTAAAGAAAGAGTAGCAGCCTTCCAACCTGCTAATTTAGAGTGAAAATTCTGTACCACTGGTTCCCAGATAACAGAGGAATTCCTAGTAGCACCTAGAGGGAGTCCTAGATAATTAGATGGGAAGTTTCCCACCAAACAACCAATAGAATCTGCCCAAGTTTTAACCTCCTGTTGGGATATATTAATCCCGAAGAGTCTGCTTTTCTTCAGGTTTAGTTGCAGCCCTGACATAACCTCGAATACTCTAAGCACCCTCTTCACATTCATAATTTGAGTCTTCGAAGCTCCACAGAAAATAATTAGGTCATCCGCAAACTGCAAGTGTGAAAGATTAAAAGACCCCTCCTCCTTGCCAACTGTCAAACCAGCAAATAAACCCTCCGAAACAGCTCTTCGAATTAAAAGATTCAATAATTCCCCCACTAGGTTAAAAAGTAAAGGCGAGAGTGAACATCCCTGTCTAAGACCCTTGGCCATTGGAAACTCCTCGGATGGAACCCCATTAACTAACACTGAGATTGAAGCTGTAGAAACACATCTCCTAATCCAACTTATCCATGTGAAACCGAAACCCATTTTTTCCATCACCTTGAACAAGATAGGCCAGTCAACCGTATCGTATGCCTTTTTGAAATCAACTTTAAACACACAACCCTTTAGCCCTTTCTTCCTCCAATAATCAACACCCTCGTTAGCAATGAGTGAGCAGTCCAAAATTTGTCTACCGGGAATAAAAGCGAATTGAGTCGGGATTATAAGATCTCCTATACAACTTCTAAGCCTCCTTGAAAGACACTTGGATAATATCTTATACACTCCTCCTACTAGGCTTATAGGTCTATAATCATCAAGACTTCCAATGTTAGATTCCTTAGGAATAAGGGTAATAAAAGTATGGTTAATACCATGTTCCCATTCTTTCCCCACAAAAAATCTGTGAAAAAACTGCATAATATTCCCCTTAAGAACAGACCAAAACCTTTTAAAAAAACCCAAATTCAATCCATCGGGCCCCGGAGCTTTATTACTATCACAAGACTTTAGAGTTTCCCAAACCTCCTCCTCGGAAAACTCCTTCTCTAAAAGCATATTCTGTTCGAAAGAAATTCTGGGGAAAACCAAACCAATATCTTCAACTTCTAAAGTAGACCGATCATTATAAATTTTGAAAAAATAATCTTTGACCTTGGCTTTGATAACAGTTGGATCGTGAGTAGTATTCCCATCAACAATTAAAGCATTCAGAGCATTTCGTTTCCTCCTAACTGAAGCACAAGTATGAAAGAATCTTGTGTTTCGGTCCCCATCATTAAGCCACTTCTTCCTAGAATTTTGAAGCCAAATCTGCTCCTCAATTCTGTGAAGTCTCCATAACTCTGCTCTACAAACACTAAGCTCTTTAACAATCCCCTGAACAGAGTTGTTATTCAGCTGCTGGGCGTCTTCCTCAAGCTTCTGAATTTTCTTTTCCAAATCTGATATTTCTACTCCCGGAAATTGATTCTTCTTCCCTGACCATTTCTTGATGGCAGCTTTAGAGTTCTTCAAAATACTTAAGATCCCACCTTTTCTCCCAGTCTTCTTACAATCTGTGATAGAATGTCTGACCATATCCTCAAAGCCGTCTTCCT